AGTCAGTCCCACAAGCACCCATGTCACAAGTTTTGCCTGTCAGCAGCTAGGGGGGCAGGGCCCCAGACCCCCCCGCACCGATCTCCTCGACAGCTGGCAGGCATCATGGCCTCAGCAGGGGCCACCACCCCTGCAGCTGTCACCCTGCTGCACCTTAACACACCGTGTCACCCATGTCACGAGTTTTGCCTGTCCGCAGCTTGAGGTGCAGTTCCCCCCAAACCCCTGCACTTATCTCCGCACTTATCTCCTTGAAACTTGGCAGGCTTTGTGGCCTGAGCAAGGGGCACCATCCATGCAGTTTTCACCCCCCTGTGGTGTAACACAGATGCGACATGAGTTTTGCTTTCAAGAATTTGGGGCGCGGTTCCCCCCCCAAACCCCTGCACCTGTCTTCTTGAAACTTGGCAGGCTTCATGCTCTCAGTAGAGGCTACCACTCCTGCAAGTTTCAGCCAAATAAGAGACAAAACAGCAAAGTTATATAGATATTTCATTGATTTCCCCATTATACTGTATGGCCAGATCTCCGAGGCAGCTTCGGAGCCACTTTGGCTGGATTGAAGTGGAAACCCGGTCCAGAGCTCTGGATCAGATCCCTGGCATCCAAAGCAGCCGGATCCGAAGTCAGATTGAATAGCTGCCTACTTCCACAGGCCTAGTGCAGAGCTCTGCTTGGCGAATTTTTTTTACTTTTGTGAGTGTGAGTTATTTGGTCCTGAAGATCTTAAGCAATTAACCTGAAGAGTTGCTGTGTAACAGCCTCACTTGTTGTTGATGTAATTGAGAGGATTTCACTATAAGATATGAATACATCATCCTGCATCATTCATGATTATAAGTGTCATTTTGAGGCATCTAGTAAAAAGTGTAGTCAGGTGTAGTCACGGTCAGTGGGGCACTGTGAAGTTTGCCTTTTCAATGGATCTACCGGTTCTCTGGGTCCAATTCAGATTTACTACATGTTATCTTGTATTTCACAAAATCTTTGTGTTTTGATGGCAAATCTTGCTTATAATTTGGTGTCTTGGAAGGTTGCTTCCCTGTTTTTTTTTTTCTTGGGCTATGTATTCATGTGCACTTTGGAAGTAGACAGTCTCAGGAACTCATTAAAATACCATTAGTGAATGCGTGTTAACTCTTGGGTGCCTGGTTTTAAGAGTCTCTGATGCAAGTAGCCAAGGGTTCTAATAGATGTGGGGAAAAAAACCAAATTAAAGCATCACTTTACTGGAAGAGGAAGTGCATTAGTTTGACCCAGCTCCCCAGCATCTGTATGGATTAGGCACAAGGCTATTAGGCGCTTCAGGGGGGTTTTTTGACGCCTTTATCTGATTCAGTCAGCTATTAGATAAAAGCTCCAAAAAGCCCCGCTGAAGCACCTGATGTATATAAACGTTGGGTGAGCCGGGTCAGACTAATGCAGTTCCTCCTCTGGGCATGTGCTATGCTTGGTGTGAGAGCACGCCAAGCTTTAAAATGTTATTTTGCAGGGGGGAGAGGGTTGATTAATTATTTTCAACTTATTTTCCTCTCATTATATTGAGACATTAGAACTCAGTCTAGCTACCATTTAGGTTAGTGACAAGACTGCGATTGATGTGAATGAATTTCTCTTGGACAACATCAGCATAGCAATGGTATTCTTTTTGTGTGAATACCACAATAATCTTCAGGTACCTTGTATAAGCTATAAATATAGAATTTGGGAAGTGAGTTTCACTTACATTTTTACTTGCACTGTGCCCTAGAAAGGATGTGCCCTTCTGTTTATGGGTCCAAAGCTCAAAGCTAGAGTAAATCACATTGTGGCAGCTGTGCACAAACAAACAGGCTGCACATTTGAAAGTGAGAGAGAGAGAAGCCTGTGGGGCACTGAGATGCAGGCGTGTGAAAAAGGGACAGATACATCCCTCATCTAAATTTGCAACTGTTGGGGCAGGGCTAAGCTACTTTTGAAGGCATGTCATGTGCTTAACAGCTTTTTAAAAATTGGGACAGCTTGACTTGCCACAGGCTAACTCATTCATATGTCCGTACTGTCAGAGTACAAATGCGATATATGCTTACTGGGACCTCTTTGCACAGCCAGAGTGCTGTAAACTGGTTGTACTGTACCTGCAAATCTGGTTCCTGGAAGTGTATGCAATTGACCAGATTTAATGCTGACTTTCTTTTTCCTGTTACCATGCCTGCCCCCACAGAAGAACTTGTGGTCTCCCGAATCTGGAAGTGAAACTAGTGAGTGCTGAGACATTAGTGTCCTGAAGGATATCTTTCTAGCAAAGTGTTTAGCGCATATGGCAGATGTTTTTCAAACCAGTCTTCCTAGGAAACATAATATACTTCTGGCTGAAACTTTCTCTCTCTTGAGTACACTCTGAAGAAAGGATTTTTTTCAAACTATTTCACTGGCCAGTTCACTGACTAAATTTAAAAAAAACTTGTGTTGATTAGTGTTTTGGTGGAGGGGTTGCATTGATTTTCTGTTGAGCACTGGATGAGTTTTCCAGCTGTAACATTTATCCACAGCACCGACTTTTATATGATGTTAATGTATTCATGGTTTTTCCCATTTACGCTGGGTCTTGATAAAAAATGTATTACTCTTATATTGCTGGCTTCATTTTTTTCCTGTGAAGAAATGTATTCTGATATTTTCATAATCTGCCTTACTCTAAGTAGCCTAAACAGTTGTGAAATTTTAGTTTTCATGGTGTGTCATTGGCTCATTTAGGACCCAAATTATAGCTGTGTTTTAAAGTGGTTATGTGTTTGCAGATGTCATCCAGATTTTGAACTGTTTCTCGTTGTGTGTATTTGCTGCTGTAGTTGCTTATTTAATGTGTTATTCCACTGAAGCAAATAGCGATTTTAAAAAATCCAGCACGTGTTCTAGAGAAAAGGTCATGTTAGTAAAAAGTAATAGGCATGTTATTCACTGTGCCTAGTCATCATTTATCTTTCACCTAGCAAATGAAGGTGTAGGACTGAAGTAAAAAGGGAGGGAAATGTTTTGATTATGAGCTAGAATGAAGTTTGCTTCGTTTCCTCCTCAAATGCCTGACCCTGTACTCGGTGAGGTCATTGACAAAATTCCATTGATTCAGTGCATCAGTCACCTAGTCCAGGGCTTGTCAACAGGGGGTATGCATGCCCCTGGGGGTACTTTAGAAGGTCCCAGGGAGTACGTGGGGGCAGGTAGGGATGGAGCCCTGCCACCACACGCCACTGCCTCTCAGAAGTGGGGCTGAAGTAAGAGCAGGGCCGCACAGATGCTGCGCTTCCACCACTCGCCATGGCCCAGCTCTGCATTTGGCTGCTTCCCACCCCCACCCCGGGGTATATTTACTAAAAGGGGGTTGCTGGGGGTACGCTTATTAAAAAAGTTGAAAACCCCTCACCTAGTCAAATTAGTCTTCTGCTTCAGTCACACCTGGATGTTGTAGCTAACAACAGGTTATCTCATTGCGTAAACCGGTGGTTTTCAAACTTCCAGAAGTCACGGAACCCAACCTGTTCATGTCGTTTCTTCTGTCGTGGTCCCTTCCACCCCTGGCTCCACAGGTCATGTGAACAGACACAGAGCCAGACAGCCTAGCCCTGCAATGGTGGTGCACTGCCTTCTGGTCTGCTCCAGCGTTACCCCTAATCTTTGTGCCTGATGACATATCGTGGAGCCCCGGGGCTCCATGGCACACAGTTTGAAAACCACTGGCATAACCAAATATTGCTGGCTACTTGCGGCTACAGTAGTTTTCTGAGCAGCCTGGATGCATGTTATGGGCACAGGGATGAACCTGAACTTTATTTTTTTTTTTTAATATTTTTTTCCCCAAAGAAAACAACTTAAAGAAACCAGGAGATCCAGTTTGTGTCTGGTTCTTTTTCCCTTCGCAAGGAAGATATATTTTTGTTATAGAGAAAAGGGCTAAAATCAAATTCTGAGGTCAGAAACCTGGGACCCAAAGATAGTTTGCTCCTACATACCATGAGTTAAATTTTGTTTTCAGTGGTAAGTGTCATTTATAGAGAAAGCATATTATAATACTAGTGGCACACTTAGTGAGACTGAAGGAGGAAGCAACTTCTTTGCAGTTTCTGTAATATTCATTTCTATTGTCTTTGCTTTTCCTTGTAGCCCAAACCAACAAAGGGAAGGATGCGCATCCATTGTTTGGAAAATGTTGATAAGGCCCTTCAGTTTCTGAAAGAACAAAGAGTGCATCTAGAAAATATGGGATCCCATGATATTGTGGATGGGAATCACAGGCTGACTCTTGGCCTTATTTGGACCATTATTCTGAGATTCCAGGTAAAAACATTATCTTTTTGTTCTGTGTGTTTGTTCTGTGTGGGTCTTATTCTCCTTGTGACCAGAGTCCTGCTGAGAAATGCTGACTGCCCCCAGGTCCCACTGACTTCAGTAGAAATCAAGAGGGTTGAGCCTCCAGCAGGACATGCTAGTTTTGCATGATTACATCCTTGCTGTAGTGCTGATCAGCAGCCTAAAGAGAATAAGTGAGTAGGAATTGTGAGACTACATTCTCTGTTTCTTGAATCAAGCAGTTGCTTTTTGATATGTAGGTAGATCCATAGCCCAAAGAACAGAATAAACCCTCTCACTTTCTTTTCCCTTGAGTTTTTTAATTTACCAAATATAAGTACTTTCAGTCATGGCATGTGGTTTGTAAAGATATCAAAAGCTCAGTCTTGACCAACAGTGCCAGTATGTGAAAAGCTTATTTCGCTTGTTAAATAACCTTGAAAAGAAAAATGAGGTTTTTAAAAATCTCACTATTTTAGCTTCTTGTAGCCTAACCTAAAACTTTGTACACACTGTGAAGGAGAGTTTCCAGTGCTTTAACATAGAAAATCATACCTATATCAAAACCCATCTTCATGGAGGGGAATGTAATTTTCAGAAGTAGATGTCTTTCAAACTGCTCCAGATGGCCTGTATTAACATCTAGGAAGTAACATCTAAACTGGTATATTTCTTACTGTTTCCCCCCTCTGTATAGTTTATATATTCCATATACGTATAGAAATGTGTGTGTGTATAATAAACTGCATGAAAAACTTGACAGTTGTGGTGCTGCTAATTTATTTATTTCAAAGAGTTGCCTTAAACTGACTTCCTACAGTACAAATTAATAGCATATAACAAGACACGTTTATAGGTTTACAGTTGTTTGCATGATCCTATGTGCTTATAGATCAGTTACTCATGCCATAGCTTGATCAAAAATAAAATTAATTGTCTTCATTGTATTTTTTTCTTCAAATAAGTATTGTATTCAAACCCCAAAATCTACTTATGGTAGATACTTTATGTACAACCTATTGTAAATGTAGGTGTGTAAATGATACCACTCAAAGGTACGCAGAAGAAACACAATTAGCGTGCAGATCTGTTTGCTAAAAACTCTAAAGTAAAGCTGTTGGGCATTTTGAGGATTTAAGTGTTGGTAAGGTTGGGCCTTAGGCTGTAGGTGTGGAATCTGGGAACTGTGTGTAGAGCATAAGAGTTATAATAAAGCAGCATGATTGATTCATGCCTGAATACTCTGACAGTACCTGGGGCCTTGGTTAGAAAAGGACTGGAAATCCTTACTGCAGAAACTTCTTAAGTGCAAATCATTCTTTGAATTTTATTCCTGTTTTTTCTTTTTCTTAACATGAAAGAGCCTGGTTTAACTTCCACTGAGGTTAGTGCAAGTCTTGATGTTGACTTCAGTGGGAGTTGAATGATACAATACAAAACAAAATGTACTGCAATATAAACAGGAAATCTGAAGGGTTGTGTTTTTTCTTTTTATTTAAAATATTTTTGCTGGACTTCATCTTGATGAAGCTAAAGACTGACAAGTTGTGCTGCCACCACTTATTTAAGTATGACTAAAAATACAGATTTCAAGAAACTTTGCTGTGTGACTGCTCAGGACAAGAATCGGGTTCTGCTGAGCTGCATCAAGGAACCTACACCTAAAACCTCCCCCTTAAAAGATTCTGTGCGCCTGGTATGAGTGCCATGCGTCCTTATCTCCAACTGAAATAGCCAGCACATTGTAGAAGGCACAGAATGCCTTACAAGAGTGGGCCAGAACCCTATATAAATCATGGTTTAAAAATGGAATAGTGTGTTTCTAGTGAAACTTAAAATATTTGTCCATAGACTTTAAAAAGGAAATGTTACAGTAATTTAAAGACAAAGAAAACTGTTCATGATGATCTTCCTTTGAAGTAAATGAACTCAAACTCAGGAAATGTTTTGTACTCTCCTGTTCTTCTGTTTTGCTGTTCTTCTTTTTCTCTTGCTGCTTCTGCTGTGATCTTAATTGCTTATATTTCTTTGAAAACTTAAGTACAGAATTGGCTCGGTAATGACGTACTGTTCTGATTCAACCTGATTTGTGACTCTTAGATCCAGGATATCAGTGTTGAAACTGAAGATAACAAAGAGAAGAAGTCTGCTAAAGATGCTTTGCTATTGTGGTGCCAGATGAAGACAGCTGGGTGAGTGTGGATTAAAAAATTACCTACATAGGGGTTTTCACTGAAATAATTTTGGATACATACAAACATTCATCTTTTCTTCCATTGCCTGACAAAAGTAAGCTGTCAAATTAACTGATTTCGTACTAAATCTGTTATTTACAGGGCAGTACATTCCAATTTATTTAGGTCTGTATCATGACTTCCATATGGTGGACATATGAATCTGAGAATCCAAGAAGGGTACTAGGTCACCAGACTCTTGCTATTCATATTGGGAGATAGTGACCATATTCAGGGAACTATGCAACCTCATTTCACCTTTTTTGCATGTGTGATTACCCTTATATTCAGTAACTAGCATCTTAACTGTTTGAGAATCTTATGGAATTTGGATGAAATATAACATTGTTCATATCTCTCAGACAGAATCATGGTCTTATTTGTGATTCATTCAATTGCTTTTTCAAGACTGCAAGAAAGATTCTGCTGTATATAATCTTTGGTTCCTGGTGTTGTCAATTTTGTTTCAGAAAGTGCACAAGAGTAGGGCTGTTTCCACTGAGTAAGATCAAAGCTCTCTTGGGAATAGCCATAACTTGAAAATGGATACAACCTTTTTGAGTTTATATATGTTAGTTGAATAGAATATTTTGTATTCTTTCCTTTAATTTTTTTTTTTCTGAAGTTCTATCTTGAAAGAACAGAAGAACTCAAAGGACTCTAGCAGTCTTAACAAATACTGTATTCCTTCAGATACAAAGCAGCCAGGAATTTAAGACACATTCTCTGCTTGTAAAAAGAAAAAATGCAGGTTTTTAAAATTCTGTTTTTAAGATGCAAGTCTTTTTTTTAGAATAAATGTGGCGTTTTTTCCATTAAAATATTTGTCAGGTATTTGAAGAAATATGGTAATTTAGTCTCCTTAATTATTTAAAAAAAAAGGCATGGGTTGGACACAATTTACTTTTTGGTTAGAATAAAATGAAAGACCTGTGTTAATTTCCAAAGTTGTTACATTCAGGGCATGTCTCCATGTGCAAATGATTCAGGGTGGGTGGGTTTACTCTAGAATAATTTACTGTAGAGTAAACCCACCCCAGGCAGCGGGGTCTTCACGTGCGGGGAAGCAGGAGCGGATTTGCTGCTCATGACACCAGTCTGCTCCTGGCCCTGCACTGGCCTCCTGCAGCAGCCAAGGGGAACTCTAGGCTGTCCTTGGGTGCTAGGCCAGGGGCTGGTAGGGAGCACGGGACCAGGAGACAGCTGTTTTCTGGCAGGGGTGAGGACATTGTTCCCTGCCCCTGGGAGCTGCCTGCTGCTGGGGTGGGCTTTGGCACCGGAGCCCAGGCGGGGACAATGTCCCCCTACCCCAGAAGCAGGGAGTTCCCAGCCCCTGCCCCCTGATTGCAGTCATGGAGCTGGGAGAGTCTTACCTTGCAGACCCGGCTTGGTGACCTCCTAGCCTCCACTCTGTGATTGTGGAGTAGGGGCTTGGGAGCTCCCTGATGCTGGGGCAGGGAAACGTTTTTCCTGCCCGAGCACCAGTGGCCGGGGAGCCCGCCCTGGCAGCTGATGACTCCTGCAGGCAGGAAGCAGTCTTCCTCCCCCTGCTGTCCAGCTGACTGGGAGACCATCTACACATGCTGTACTGTGCAGTAATTACTCCCAAGTAAATTTGCCACTTGTATTTGCATGTGTAGGCAGTGATGCTTACTGTGCTGTAATTGGCTCTAATCTCAAGTAAAGCATCTTGTGTAGACATGACCTCAGAGGAATACATTTTTTGCCTTCTCAGATTCCTCCTGCCCTGCAGAACTAAAATGTCTTCTCCCAAGGGATTCAGCATTATGCAAAGGAATTCCTTTTTCATAAATGATCGATTTCTAAAGTGTGAAGGATTGTGGCACATATGGGTAAAATCTTGTACTGTTAGACCAGACTCCAATGGCAGTTGGATTTTGCCTACAGAATACCTTTTGAGGGTTGCAGAGAAAAGACTGTCTATGAGAGGAACTGACTGTTTTGCTGAAATGGACTTCCTGCTGTCCAATTATGTCTGAAGTGGCCACACATCCTTTAGAAAAAGTTTGGAATGCATTAAGAAATTAGCGTTTGGATGTTTTTTCCACATTCAGAAGAGGTGTGCTCATAAGTAGAAGTGCCTCCAAAATGCTTCTACAAATGGTAGCTCTTGTATAGCTTTGGATATCCATTATTTATAGAAATTCAGTATGTTTCCTTCATGAAACTTGAATTAATTCAAAGTGAATTGAGTACTTCTAAGAACTTCTAGTAAAACTTTGACTTTTGTCTCAGAGGGTTCCCTTGAAATTGGGTTTGCAAAGAACCTTAATTTTTTTTGGATATTTTGAAAAAATACCTGAATCAGAACTGAAGTGAATTTGGTTCTCCTTGATCTATTAGCTATCAAGTTAACCATCAGACACATGACCCTAGGCACTTGTTTGGAAGTCATTGTGGGGAGGGTCATTCTTTTGAAGCTGCAAGGAAAAGCTTCTAGTCCACCACTTCCCTAATGTCATCTATTAAAGGCCTCAAGCCCTTTCTTCCCTTGCATTTCAAAAAAGGCCCCCCACCCTCCTTCTCCACCTGGCAGTCACCAGTATAGTCTCCAGCTCTGTTTCTTGACCAATTGTTATTCCTCTCCAAAATTTAATCTTCTGTGTGCTTGAAGATAACACTTGGTCAGTTGCTTAGGTGAGAAAATGGATTTGAATTTGCAGAGCTGGATCCCCACAGGATAAAGATTGGGAATTAGAGGTTAGAAAAATGATAGTTAGCTTCTTTTAAAAATATAAACTTAGGCATAAAATATATATCAACTCTCTTAGTGTTACATGGGGAAAATGAAGATGTTCTTGCTCCTCTCCTTTTGATGTGCTTTAAAGGATCATGGTTGTGAAACTTCAGGAGCTGGTTGATAACATTCCTCATATCTGCTTATAGGAACTGTCACTTCTGTCCCACGCTTTCAGTGACAGTGTGCAAAGCCAGAATGGGGATGCTATAGTGATTTACGTTATTTTTGTTTTTTGTTCTGTCAGTTATCCCAATGTCAACATTCACAACTTCACTACTAGCTGGCGGGACGGGATGGCTTTCAACGCACTAATACATAAACACAGGTATGTCCTTGTAAAATACCCTATAATATATTTGGAAATCTGGATATGTTGCTGTGTGCACAGTTTTGCAAGAGTTAGCTCTTTGATGTTTTAAGTATATGGGAGTTGAAGGTGAATTGGAAAGAACATTTTGGAGTCCCACGTGCAAACATAGTAAGTAAGGGTGCAGCCTCCAACTTGGGAGTCTTTAGGCCTCTACATCCTGGAGTCGATAAGGGGAGAGAGGCAGGGGCTGGATTTGTTGATATTCCCTGCCTAAATACACATGCCCATACATAACATCTACTCTGTCATTATGAGCTACAGGTTACTGAGCTCTTTGGCTCTGTGGTCTGACTTAGCATGACATCTCTTATGTTCTTCTGTTCTTAACCCTGTTGAAGTTAGGAGAACCACTTGTACAAGGAAGTGTGTGTGTGTAACCCTAGCCCTAAATTGTTTGACTTCAGCCACATTCATCCCTGGTCAATTTTCTCTGGTTTGCCAGAAGCCAGATTTAGCCCTGCTGGCACATGCTGTGCAACTCCATACTTTCTCTGTGGCCTCACTGAAATGAGAAGGATGATGGGAGGCGTCAACTAGAGGACTGTGTGAAGGATGGGAAAACCTGATCCAAATTCATCCCTGTTGAAGTTGCTTCCATGGGTCTTCACTGCTATTTGGAGTGTTCCAGCTTTTATTTCACTTGTTCATCAAGTGGCTCATTTGTATGTTAGAGAAACTGAGGGTGTTTCTCTCTTGTTTAGGCCTGATCTCATTGATTTTGACAAGCTGAAGAAATCAAATGCACACTACAATCTGCAGAATGCTTTTAACCTGGCAGAGCAACACCTTGGTCTTACTAAGCTTTTGGACCCAGAGGGTAAGAATTCCTTCAGTTACAACATGGACTGGCTTTCTGTGGAAGAATGTTATTTCCTCTGTTACACCCGTCCATGCTCCAGGGTTCTGTTTTTTATGTGACAGCCTTTTAAGTCGAAGGGCACCTGGACGCAGGTTTTTCTTCTAGTCATAGAGTACCTTGCCTGAGCAGGAGGCAGCAGAGTGATCACCAGTGACAAATACAAGAGGTTCCTTTTCGCAGGGAGCTGAGCAGGAAGTTAAACTTCAGTCCCTGCCATGTGGCAGTACTTTGCTGTTGCTGGACTGGCCACGTATGTGGAGAAGTGAAGAGCCATATCCCATCTGTGCTGGGAAACGCTTTCTTTAAGTTAAAATGAAATTGGCATGTTTTTCATAAAGCTTTCTCTTAACTTTCTTCCCAGCCCCCAAACAAGTAGTATTGTTCTGATGTGTATGGATGTTAAAGCGTGAGCAACACTCACAGGACAGGAGGCTTTGTTGGTAGGGGGCAAGTAAAAGTCACATCATTGGGCAGGTATCACCCTCACAAATTGTGCGTGTGATTGTGGATGATTGTTGTTGGCTCCTTGATGCTGGAGGCTGGTATTTCCTCCCTCAAATACAGATGTAATACATTTCTTCTAAGTGCTTGACAAACATCATATCTTGCAACTATCTTGTGGAGACAGGCAAATATCACTGATCCTGTATCCCAGAGGCATGCAGAGACTAAAAGGCTTGTTCAGCTATGAACAGCTGCTAGTCCGGGCCAGAATCTGGAACAATACCCAGATGTCCTGGCTCCCCGTCCTTTGTTTTAAACACAGTTTTCTGTCTCTAAGATTAATGCAAAATAGAGGAGGTGGTTTATAACTTCTAGCATCAAAGAGCTGGAGACTGGGCCAAAGCCACTGAATGTATTTTTGATTAGTACACAAACCTAGACTTCAAAGCCCCAGAAGCTGAAAAGTGAGGGAAGCCATGTCTCTCAGTCTGAGTCCTACTTAGTGGATTGTCAGCACTGTATGCATTGTTTTAAATTGCATACCACGCACTATGCTAAAGTAACTCTTATTTGGTTTTCAGATATCAGTGTTGACCATCCTGACGAAAAGTCAATTATCACCTATGTGGTGACATATTACCACTACTTTTCTAAGATGAAAGCTTTAGCCGTTGAAGGAAAACGTATTGGAAAGGTTTGCCAGCTAACATTTTATATGTGATGCAGCCAATTAAATATTTATTTTTATGTACAGTGTCAGTCCTTTTAGCAGCCCTATTGCATATTAGCTTTGAGTTTGCTTTTAATCTTGGATTTGAAGACCTTATATTCTGATATAATATGGAAAGTGGTTAATCTTTACTGATGTTTTCATCTGTTTCTTAATACTAGCTGATGTTTAACTTTGCTTCCTAACTTTATCTTGTTCATTCTTTTCTCTACCATTAGCTGCCCCTCTGTGTCTCTCTTTTTGGAGCTGTAAGGAGCCTTCAGTTTAATAACATACCCACACTGTTCATGGTAGCCAGCAACATACTTACAGACAAAATAAGAATCCCTTTGTAAACACTGACCCTGTCCCCTTAGTTGGTTTGGGATTGTGGAAATTTGCTTCAAAGCAGTGCAAAGAGTCCTCACTCCTCAGTATCCCCAGCCCCCTTCTGTATTCAGGAGCGAGTGGTTTGATCCATAAATTAAGTCCCTCTGCGCAGTCTCTTTATGGAGATGTAGGCTTCTGAAGAGGTCTGGCCTTGTCACTCAATTGTTTTGTGTTGCTTGTTGCAGGTGCTTGACAATGCCATCGAAACAGAGAAAATGATTGAAAAATACGAATCACTGGCTTCTGACCTTCTTGAGTGGATTGAACAAACCATCATCATCCTGAATAATCGCAAATTTGCTAACTCACTGGTTGGTGTGCAACAGCAGCTGCAGGCATTCAACACCTATCGCACAGTGGAGAAACCACCCAAGTAAATTTAATCTTGCCTTAGGAAAATAGGGTCTTTTTTTTTTTTTTTTTAAAAAAAGGGGGGGGGGGGTGTAACTTTTTTTCGCCTTATTCCTGATTGTTAATACCCTTGGATGGCTTGCTCCTTACCACTCAACCCACACAGTAAACAGGAAATAATGTGCTATGGACAGGATCTCAGATCCTGAGAGATACCATTTCAGTGCAAGTTTTAATACCTCAAAGTGAAGTGGTACAGATAGCAATAGTGTGTTGCTGTTAGATAATACTATCACCAATAATGCATGCCAGCATTATGTAATACTCATACACAGCTAATAATGGAATATCATAGGTTATCCCAGATCAAGAGCAAATGTATCTGGTTTTACAAAATATAACATAAATCTACAAAGCTGCATTTCTATATCTGTAATGTGCTATGCAAAGCTAAGATCCCAACATACTTTTATAATTAGGAGTTAAGGCTTTTTCTGTTAATGTTCACCATCTAAAAGCATTACAAGCAGCCAGATTCCATTTTAATTGCTATTGATTTCATTATGCCTATAAAGATCGTGTATTTTTCAGGAACTGCTCTGAAAATCTGATTCGGAGCCTGTTGACGTCAGTGGAAAAAGTTTCATCGACTTTGGGCTTTGGATCTGGCCTTAGATTCTTGAGTCAATGGATTTAATGCCATACAATGCACCTACATAAAAAGTTGCCTGTTATTTCTATCCTCCCTTCCCATCCCCCAATGGGTTTCATAAAATCAGAAAATCATGGTAGAAAGGGACCTCAGGAGGTCATCTAGTACAAACCCCTGCTAAAGCAGGACCATCCCCAACAAGATCAGTCCAGCCAAGCTTAACTGCACCCATATACATTAGTGGATTTTGTGCAGACTTTGCAACATTTAAACCAGTCAATTCTGATGAACGTGTAGACTACTAGTCTGTCACGTGAAATGGAGATGTCTGGGTTACCATACTATGCATCACATAAGTTGTTTAAGAAAATACTCTCTAGTTCCCTAGGAGCAGTGAAATACTCGTTTTTAACTTTCTTATGTTTGGGGGAATTTCTGTTTAGATTTACAGAAAAAGGAAACCTAGAAGTGCTGCTTTTCACCATCCAAAGCAAAATGAGAGCGAACAATCAGAAAGTGTACATGCCCAGGGAAGGCAAACTCATCTCGGACATTAACAAGGTATACCCTGGCTTTTCAACTCCTCATGTACATCTTGGGCATTTGTTTTCTTTTAATCTTACTCCCAACAAGTGAGGGTGTCAGTGGTCCTTCACACCAAAGCCACTTCTCCAGGACTGACTCAGGGCACCTGCTTGACTGGGAGGGGTGGAATGATCTTTCCTGTGCATATCACTGACACACAACTAAGGTGGTTGCAAAGCTGCATCAGCAGCCTTTGCATTGGCTAACTTTATGGAAGCAGGCAGTAGTTCTTTGTAGTTACAAATCCACTAGTCTTCCCCTACTCTTCTCCCTGGTATAGACCGCAGCCTCTCTTTTTGTCCAAGCTCTGCCTCCCCACAAAGACTCCTGCAGCCAAGAGTGCAAGGGTATTATGTAGAGCAGAGCTGTGGTGTGCAGGTCCTCAAATCCTGTCCCGTTTTTCTGCACAATAGAACTGCAGGGGCTTCTCCATCTCTGTGCCCTCCACAACCATAAAACAGTGGAGCATTTACCGCTTAAGCTTCTCAGTCATAATATCCATGGTAAGGGTGGTGAGAGGAAAAAAGACCTGTGGAGAATTGGAGAGTGGTCTCATTCATTGCAAATCAAAATTTATATGACCAGTTGTCCTATTGGTACAGCTGGCTGAACAGCAGCAGGTCTGACAAATTTTCAAAGGGATAGCAAACTACTTTAAACTGTGAGCCACCTTATTTTTGGTTTGATCATGCTTAGACTTCCCAGAGCAGCTGTCGCTGGTGTCAGTGGCTTCACTCTCCATCCTAGGGAGCAATAAACTTCACAGCTCCCCTATTTGTCTTGAGCTCCTGTGCCTGTGGTTTTAGGCAATGGCACATCTGTTAGGGTACAGAGGAATGTAGAATAGTGTGTGGTTAATTGTTGGCATTTTTGTTGTTTATGAGAGATCTGTAGGAGCCGTAAACTTGATTTTGACCATGCTGTTAAAACTTTTTATGGCAATAGATTAACATATGTGAATAGCTTTTTACTTTTAAAGGGAGGCTCTCACATACAACAAAATGAACATCTCAGTTCTTTACTCAATTTTTAAACAGTGATCTTTTAAAAAAAAAAAAAAAAATCTTGGGGGAAGACCAAGTGAATCCGTATTTTTCCCTTATTAAGAATAAAGAATTGATCTCTTTTTGGTAGTAGAACTCATAAAACACAGTCAGACCCACTCATGCATATTCTAAGCAAGTATTTTGCTTAAGCAGATTTAAAGCGAGTAGATGGAACCAAGACCCCCAGCATACCTTTGTGAGTCAGGTCAGTTTTATACCCATTTCACAGAAAGGAAACGAAACTCAGTGTGGCCTGTTTTGGGCAGATCTTAGTTCAAGACTTAGGCATTCTGAGTGTGAGTGTTCTGGGTGTGATTTACCCTTTTTGGTTCCTTCTTTGGCCACAGTGAATTTACAGTAGGGATTAACTCTGATCTGTAATGTTGATTTTCACACAAAGTAGACATGCAGTTTCTCATAATCCTGCAGAGATGTGAATCTAAAGAACACGATGCCTTTTTTTTTTTCAAACTTCTTCAGGCCTGGGAAAGACTGGAAAAAGCTGAACATGAAAGAGAACTGGCACTGCGAAATGAGCTCATAAGACAAGAGAAACTGGAACAACTTGCACGTAGATTTGATCGCAAGGCAGCTATGAGAGAAACCTGGCTGAGTGAAAATCAACGTTTAGTTTCTCAGGTGGTGTTTTCAGAACTATAAGTATGACTAAAATTATTACTGAGTAATTATGGGCTACAGTTTCTGTGCACAGAGCATGTCTGCTCCCCCTGGCTAGGAGCCCTGCTGTTTATCCTGTCTGTCCTAAATTCCCTTTCAACTAGTTCAGCAAGCCCATGCTTAGTAGAGAACAGTATAGAAACATCTACTCATAGGCAGTATTTTCATGAAGTTGTAAGGCCACGTTAATCTCTAGTGAAATCACTGGAATTGTATCAGGGCTGAATTTGATTCATTGACAGTAGAGATGAAAAAAAGACCAAGTGCATTTCCATGCTCCTTGCCCCCAGGCCAGTACAAGATTTTTCCCACAATACGTCTGCTATTTTTATCTGTGGAAGAATTTTCAGAGTACTTTGAAACTCCACATTTGTTAGCAAATTTGTGTTGTGAAACCTTCCCCTTCCCCCACCCAGTGCAGACAGTTTTGTTTGAGTGAGAGCATGTTGATGCACAAGCCTTATTAAAATGGAATCTGTGTCTTTACAGGATAACTTTGGTTTTGACCTTCCAGCAGTGGAGGCTGCAACTAAAAAGCACGAGGCCATTGAAACAGACATTGCAGCATATGAAGAACGAGTCCAAGCAGTGGTTGCTGTTGCAAGGGAGCTTGAGACTGAAAATTACCATGATATCAAACGTATCACTGCAAGAAAGGACAACGTTATCCGTTTGTGGGAGTACCTGCTGGAGCTGCTCAGGGCACGTAGACAAAGACTGGAGATGAACCTTGGTCTGCAAAAGATATTCCAGGAAATGCTTTACATTATGGATTGGATGGATGAAATGAAGGTAAATGTCATCCAGATTAGATATGGCAGGAAACTGCTTTGGATTAGAAAGTGTGCATGTGTAGATCCTTTATCTTGTAAATTAGGTTTGTTTTAAGTAGTTTGTTCCGAAGGATCTAATATAACCACATTCACAACTGCTGATCTGATTCTTGCTGCACAGTGTCATGATGGTTAAAATATAAAATAAAAGCAGCTAAAATAACCCCAAGTCTCTTGCCTACTAACAACACCACTTTTGATGTTGCTGGTCTGTTTGATGCGGGGAGGGTTTATATTCAACACAGCATCAGTGTTAAACCCCTCAGAAGGCTGCACATTTGGATTGATGGCGGGGGAAAGGGCCTTCCATGAAGGGTTGGAATAACACACTCAGCACTTCCCTTAGTCTCCTCCAGGGGGAACAGAGAGGAGGCAGGGTGGTGGTCCCATGCATGCATCAGCAAACAGAGCTGGGATAAGCAGAGAAAGTAAGCTTCACCCCACAAAGCACTGCAGTATCTAGGCACAGCACATGGGAACCTGGGGCGGTAGAACACTTATTCATGTTCTCTTTGAAGTAACACAGCTTGGCACCATCTCAAACCTAAAGCTGTGTGTAGGTGACATGGATGAGCTTTTTACACCCAACAGTGCTAAAAATATTGGCCCGGATGTATCTTCAGCTCAGACTCATTCACATTTGTATTTAAACTAGTGTGACAACTGAGAGCATAATTCATACATGAAGTACTTGTTTTAATGATGAATAATTCTGATTACACCTGGTGCTTTTAACCTTTCTCTTCATTTGAGCAGGTGCTGCTGCTGTCTCAGGACTATGGCAAGCATTTGTTAGGGGTAGAAGACCTGTTACAGAAACATGCCCTAGTGGAGGCAGACATTGCCGTTCAGGCTGAGAGAGTGAGAGGGGTCAATGCATCTGCTCAGAAATTTGCCACAGATGGGGAAGGTAACTCAAGCCAGCACATCATCTTTGATTTTAGTTATGCATCAGATTTGAAGAGACACTAACTTTAGTCAGATCATTATCAAGCTTCATTAGCCATATAATGAATGCGAGGCTAAATTCACCACCAGTGTAACTGGGCTGAATTCAGTTGCTTCCAATTAGACCCCTTAGGCAAGCAATGTATTTGGCCAACTGCCCTCATGGGGCTATTCATCCTGGCAATATTTTGCCTCATATTAATTCTGGTCACCAGCAGCTGCTGTAATTTTAAAATAAACATTCTGCATTCATTACAGTTCCCCCTTTTCACTGTTTCTGATGGATACAATTCAGATGCTTGCTTCTGATCTTACAAAAACCAAGAATAATTCTGCTAAGTCAGTGAAGTTACACAAGCAAGGCATAACCATTTTGCAGAATGTACATATGGTTCCAAATTCTTGTTTTTAACTTCAGTCATGTGAATCTAGAATAACTTATTTTAATTCACTGGAAATACCCAAAATATTTATCAAGGCAAAGTATAGTGTAGAAATTTTTCCTCGCATCTTTAAATGCGTGGATTTTTCTACAGTTATTACCTTGTGATGTGATGGAGCTTAAACAGCTTGTATATAACACTTTGGAAGCCTAGCAATTAATAAACTTAAATTTACAGTGTAGCTCTAGTGACCACGTATTAAGAGCCTGGGGTGGGTATTGTAACTTTAGATCTTAAAAATAAGCCAAAGTAATATATTTCTCTGTCTGAACAGGTTACAAACCGTGTGACCCACAAGTTATCAGAGACCGAGTAGCTCATATGGAGTTTAGTTACCAAGAACTATGCCAGTTAGCAGCTGAACGCCGGGCTCGCTTGGAAGAATCCAGACGTTTGTGGAAATTTTTCTGGGAAATGGCTGAAGAGGAGGGCTGGATCAGAGAAAAGGAACAAATCTTGTCATCTGATGACTATGGGAAGGATCTAACTAGTATCATCCGCCTCTTAAGTAAGCATAAAGCATTTGAAGATGAAATGAGTGGTCGTAGTGGCCACTTCCAACAGACTATAAAAGAAGGTGAAGATATGATTGCTGAGGAACACTTTGGGTCAGAGAAAATCAAGGAACGAATCAAGGACATTCGGGAGCAGTGGGCTAACCTTGAGCAGCTCTCTGCCATTAGGAAAAAGCGCCTGGAAGAAGCCTCTTTGCTTCACCAGTTCCAAGCTGATGCCGATGATATCGATGCCTGGATGTTGGACATCCTTAGGATTGTCTCCAGCAATGATGTTGGTCATGATGAATATTCCACTCAGTCTTTGGTCAGGAAACACAAAGATGTTGCCGAAGAGATTGCAAACTATAGATCTGTCATTGACTCTCTTCATGAGCAGGCGAAGGCTCTGCCACAAGAACATGCTGAATCTGCAGATGTGCAGGGCAGGTTGTCTGGAATAGAGGAAAGATACAAAGAGGTGGCTGAACTGACCCGGCTCCGTAAGCAAGCATTACAAGATACCCTTGCTCTGTATAAGATGTTCAGTGAAGCAGATGCATGTGAACTTTGGATTGATGAAAAGGAGCAGTGGCTGAACAGTATGCAGATTCCAGAGAAGCTAGAAGACCTGGAAGTGATCCAGCACAGGTAAGAACAGACTTAGGAAGAAGTACTTTTGTGTACCTTTAAAATTTAAGTTGCCCGTGACAGAGATCCTCCAATGCCTTTATGATCTTTTTCCCAGATTTGAAAGCTTAGAACCAGAAATGAACAATCAGGCATCCCGTGTTGCAGTGGTAAATCAGATTGCTAGACAGCTGATGCACAGTGGTCATCCAAGTGAGAAGGAGATCAAGGCACAGCAAGATAAACTGAACACAAGGTAAGTTAGTGACTGGCAACATATGAAAACCTGATATTAGTTGAGATGGCTGTGAAATTAGGAGAAATCATAGGAGAATAAGGCTGAAAGGAAACTTGTGAGTTTGCTTTGTCCAACCCTCTTGCACAAGGCAAGATCAAGCCCTGACTAAACCATTCCATCCTTGTGTTTTTCTAGTACATATGTTACATATGTATTTCTGATATGTTAAAGCCTGATTTTCATCTAGTGTTAACTGGAGTAGTTTCAAGTCAAGGAGATGACCTGAGAAGTTAGAATAAGCTTCTTCCTCTCCTTACTGTCTGATCAAAAGCCAGAGTTTTCCCATTGGCTTCAGTAGACTTTGAATCCAGCCTTAGTCTAGTAGTTACAAATCTTTAACAGCTGGAGAGTTACCATACCAAATGCTTTGTGAAAATAAGATGGTACAGTATATCATACACACCTGCTAATTGGATACTTAGTGTTCACACAGGTATACTTTGAAACCATGCGGCAAATCCAGACCTATAGGAGACCTACAGGAAATACCTGATCCTGGGGAACACAGAAATGTTTGTAGCCAGTCTGTTGATATGTACTGTTTTCTAACATGCCCTGTAGCGACAGAAATATGCGAGCAACTACTTGTGTAATAAAAAGCACCAGGACAAAACAGTTTTTTAAGGGCTTAGCAGGCCTATTTCAGCAATTTTCTCATGAAAAAGTAGTGACATTGGGCACTTTTTCACACGTGCTTGGGAGGGGGAGGAGGGGAGCTTTAGTTAGAGTGGCTCCAAGAACCTCAGTGTCTTGTGTATCAGTGTCACCATGCTTCAAAATAGCAGTGGGGGCACTTGAATTAAAGCTTGATGAGATGCAGGAGGTTGCTGGAGCACAGTAATTACCATGCTCCAAATCACTATAATTACAGTGTGTTGCAGCAGGCTCTGTACTCGTATATAGGCACCCATTAAGCTTGTCATAATTGCATAAGAGCCTCAGTTTCTCTGCTTTCCTTTCCTCTCTCATTTTAGGTGGAGCCAGTTCCGAGAACTGGTAGACAGAAAGAAGGATGCTCTTATCTCTGCTCTAAGTATCCAGAACTACCATCTGGAATGTAATGAAACCAAATCCTGGATTAGGGAAAAAACCAAAGTAATTGAATCCACACAAGACCTGGGCAACGATCTGGCTGGAGTAATGGCCCTTCAGAGGAAGTTGACGGGTATGGAACGTGATTTGGTAGCTATTGAGGCTAAGCTAAGCGACCTGCAAAAAGAGGCAGAAAAGCTGGAATCTGAGCATCCTGACCAGGCCCAGGCCATCCTGTCGAGGCTTGCGGAGATCAGTGATGTGTGGGAAGAAATGAAAACCACCCTAAAGAACCGTGAAGAGTCCCTTGGAGAGGCAAGCAAACTGCAGCAGTTCTTGCGTGACTTGGATGACTTCCAGTCCTGGCTGTCCAGAACCCAGACTGCGATTGCCTCAGAAGATATGCCAAACACATTGGCCGAGGCTGAAAAGCTCCTCACTCAGCATGAGAATATTAAGAATGAGATTAACAATTATGAAGAAGACTACCAGAAAATGAGGGACATGGGTGAGATGGTAACACAAGGGCAGACTGACGCACAGTATATGTTCTTACGCCAACGTCTGCAGGCTTTGGACACAGGATGGAATGAGCTTCACAAAATGTGGGAGAATAGGCAAAGTCTCCTCTCACAATCCCATGCCTACCAACTCTTTCTCAGAGATACCAAGCAAGCAGAAGCATTTCTCAATAACCAGGTAAGTGCACAATGGCTGCATTCTTTTACCCAAACTCAACACAGTTTATTGTAGCTGCCTGTTGAAAGAGATTATTGCAGGTCAGTTGAAAATAAGCATGTTTTTCACAAAAATAGTCTTTAATCAAATTGGTCTCCAGTAATTTTTTTGGGGGGGCTGTCTAATTCGTGTCTGTGGAAATGCTGTCAGAACAGATACTATTACACCTGCAAAACTTTTCTTTGTCCTTCATTTATTTTTGTAACAAAAAAGGAATATGTTTTGGCACATACTGAAATGCCCACCACCTTGGAAGGAGCAGAAGCTGCTATTAAAAAGCAGGAGGATTTTATGACCACGATGGATGCCAATGAGGAAAAGATCAACGCGGTTGTAGAAACTGGCAGGAGACTAGTTAGCGATGGGAACATTAACTCTGACAAGATCCAAGAGAAGGTGGACTCTATCGATGACAGGTGAGCTTTGCTCAGTCTTCTAGGAACTGTTTTGCACTAAATCTCCCATCCTGCTCCTTCTTTCCTGAGTTTGCCATTATCCTTTGCATGGTGAAGATTTCCTAGCATGAAGTGCTGGTGTCCAGTGGATTAGTATTTAGATATAGAAAATTCTAGCTTCTCAGAGTAATGAAGCAAGCAGAAGTATAGCGGAAACTGGGATTGCTTTTTCTCTTGCTTGATAACAGTGTATATAAATGACTCCACTGAAATCAGCACAATTATACCAGTGTAGCATTGACATAGCTAACAGGAGACTGGGGTCCTTTTTGTTTCATGGTTTCTTATCAAAAGGTCAAAGCAAAGTGACATGTTAATAGATACCGAACAATGTGTTTTCTTTGTCCCATGAAAAAAATGTCAGAATTCTTCAAAAAGGAATTGGGCTGATTTAATCAAACATGTCCTCTGCCGTCATCTGGACTCATTAAATACTGAGCTCCATAACTAGGCTTTGACTATGAATGTGTTGCTCTATAATTCTATCAGAGTATTAGGCTGGTTCTGTAAATCTAAAGTTTCCTCTGGTATCAACTGGCTATTTCATTTAATTAGAATGATACATTTCTGTCCTTCCTCCCAAGAAGAAATGGGACTACTTCTGACTGCAGGTGAAATTACGCTTGTCTTTTCTACTTGGCTTTAAGCATGTTTTCCAAGGTATAACAAAATGATCCCTGGCCCTTCTGCAGTCAGATAAGAAAACATTGGCACAATATTTCTTACTCCCTCAGACAAGGATTTTTCTTTGTCTTTCCAAGTGGTACAGCACCTACTGATTTTTTTAAGAACTTCCCCCTTTTTAAAGCCTGAATGTTAGTTTTGATGTGGTAAAACCAGTCTTTGCCATAGTTTAAAAAATAATTAGTTCTTATGTAGTGCTTGCCATCCTTAGAGCTCAAAGTACAGTAATAACCATACTTAGCTTGCACACAAATTTTATGCCAAATATTATTTGCCCTGACTACATACATCTCTACTTCAAAGCTGAGAAGCTCCAAGCTAGCCAGTTGCTCTACTCTTCAGGGATGAAACAAACTGAAATACTCTAGGACAATGGTTCTCAAACTTTTTTTTTCGTGAACCACTTGAAAATTGCTGAGGGTTTCAGCGGACCACTTAATAAACTTTTTTTTGTTCTAGAAATCAAAGCACACAACTCATATTTTAATATCAGTAGTCTTACCTTTCTAATACAATGGATGTGCCTGTTTTTTTGAGCAAAGTTCTGGGAAGTTGGGTGTAATGTTTGCCAGGTTTAGCCTTAGGTCACCTTTTTGCAGATCGCCTGAGTGTTCAGTTTGAGAACCTCTGCTCTGGGAAATAGCAGTTAGTTGTTTACCATTCTCCCGTGTCAAGTTCAAGCAAACCCCCTTATAATCTGTGTGTATTCTGCTTCAGTTATGTCCCACCAGGGCTCCATCATGTAGCTCAAAGTGAAACAGAATATTCCTATTGCTAGAGAATTTTGGAAGTCCTTGAACTCTTCCTTTATGACCTTCGCTCTCCGATGTCTTATGTTCCTGTGATCTCTCTGACCATAGTGGAGTGGATATAGCTCCCATTTGATCCTGCAGTGATGTTCCAGGAAGATAGGGTCACATGAAAGTCATCCAGGCTTATCATCCTCCCAGGTTCTGAGTGTGCTGACTTTTCAGGCCTCCCTGCCTTTCCAGCCCTGAGCCTGAACTCAAATACATGTTACGATGGCCACTAGAAAGGCCTGTGAGTACATCATGACACAGATATCACTGTGTACTTTCCTAGAAGGCTCTGTGTATAATTAAGTGAGGCATTAACATTACTTAACAATACCACTGCCAAGTTTGCCTCCTTAATCAACACCAGAATGCAGTGCTTACTGTGTCATACTCAACGTAGACTTCATTCTTAGTCTGCCTAGACCTAAACAGTTGCAAGGATAAAGCCTCTAGCAGCGTAGCCATCTGGCTTCCATATTTTCTGCTTATTTATTTGTAGCACCAAATATGTTAGACGAGATGTAGAGCATGGGCCAGTGGGATAGCACATTACATACCAACACGATGGAATCCTAGAAGGTCCTGGCAGTCAGTGGCCCCCTAATCTTTATTCCCCTAAGGTGAGACTTACTTTCACTCACAGAGTCTTCAATAAAACAAGAGGAGAATAAAAAGCAGTGTTTGGAAACACAGGGCAAGGGATTCTCCTCTTCAGGAAGAATTCAGTTTTCCAAGCTTCCTGTATTTGCCTGTGGTAGCATCTTCTGGGTTGATTCTCACTTAAATTTCCTGTTGTAAGAGATCACTTGGTCTTTTAAACTCATTTTAATATGCTGTTTACAGTGAAAGCCCTACATGTGTTAGCACTTGGACAAAGACTTATTCAGTTCTCTCTTCCCAGTTACCCCAAGCAAACAAACCAGGTAACCCCAAACCCTCTGACTTTCTCTATTCTTCACCTTATCCTTTTCCTTACCTTCCACTTGTGAAGGCAGGACTTAGTGTTCTGGTGAGCCAGCCTCTCCTTACCACCTCCACAACAACCAGAAGTTGTATACAGGGGCACAATGATATGTCTACATATTTTCAGTAGTCCTTGACATATCAATAGACAGCTGCAGCAGAGCTATTCCAGGCCTCCTATTTCCATATGTAAAGGAGGTCTCAAGCCTCAGATCTTTAATTCAGGTGGCTGTTTCCTGCAAAGGAACTCGTCTTTATTATTCCTATTGTTCCCTGTCACCGTAGATGGCCTCTTGACTCCCTCTGATTCCATGAGACTTGGTGTAGGTGTTCATGCTTGGAATGTGTAAGTAAGCCCTAGAAAGCTCTATTTTTATCGCACTTTTGTCCACACACTTCCTTAAATTGCAAAGTTTATTTACATGAAACACTGCAAAAACCATCTAGTATTCTGCTGTTCAGGAAATCTGTGTATAGCTATTAAATCCTAGAGGTGATAGCCCTCAAGAACAAAGGCTAAGATTGTGGGGTGTAATAGGAATGGTATTAATGAAGGCCTCTGGTTTACAAAGTATTAGCTCCCAAACAGACTCCAACTGGGTGCACCGATGAAGAACCTGAACAAACAAGTACAAATCTATGCCACTTCTGAGTGGCTGGTTAGACTGCTTTGTAACTGTTACTGCTCTTGTTCTTCTTCTTCTTAATTGTGTTTATTACCCTAGTTAAAAATGGGAGTGCGTTGTCCATTGGCACAGTAGATGGTCTTTACTCCAAAGAATTTAGAGTCTGTATGTAGAAGACGGGCACAGGGTGGGGGGGAAAGGGGGCGTATGACAACCAGAGTGAACAGTGAGATGACACATGCCACAAATTATTGTGAAATGCAAAACTCTAAAACTCTTGGTTCAGAGATGATACCTTTTATTAGACCAACTAAGAACTCGCAAAAAATTGTGGCCTTATTTATGAATGGTTAGTCTCAATGGAAGGAAGCAGTTAGGAGAAGGAGGGGAAGAGAGGTGGAGTAAACCATGAGTCAGCAGAGAGCCGAGTAGTTGTAATACAACCGTAGAGCAGTGTTTCTCAACCAGGGTTTTGTGACATCCTGTGGTACCTTGAGATCTTTTCAAGAGTGCTCCAGGGTGTTGCAATTTGTTAGCATTTTAAGGTCTATAAACATGATTCACAAGATAAACCAGAGTTTTCAAATAGGAATCCAGAGTGTTAAAAACATTCTGACCTATTGTGATCTGAGTTCTTTGCAACAGAAGAATGACTTTATTTTCTGTAGTCAACAGACAAATAAAAACTAAGAGTTGGCATTTCTGAGGGGTGCCTTGAGTCAGTCAGAGGGTTGTCTTGAATCTAAAAAGGTTGAGAACCACTGCTATAGGGAGTTCTGTGAATGTTGGAATGCTCCTGTGTTGGCTACTCCTACTTCTGGGAGTCTTATTGCAGCTTTTTCTCTAAGGTCAGTGGGTAGAGGCACTATCAGAGGCCTCTGCCCACTGTCCTACAGTGCCAACAGTGTGGGGTGAGGAAACTATGCACTTCCATGCATAGTTCTGGGTGTGCTGGATGATGGGAGGGCTGAGGCTGGGTCCCATTTGTCTCACACATGCACACAGTCCCTGTTTTGGCTTCTTGTGCAAGAGCTTCTACCAGCTGGCATAAAATAGTTTTTTCATTTCAGCTATTCTCTACCAAGGGAAGTTCCAAATTTCCAAGTCCAAAAACCAGCTGGCCTGACCTAGGACACAATAGCTCTATTTTTTCCAGACTTTATGCTTATGCAAGCTTCTATAAGAAAAGGAGCCTGAGTTATTTCTGCTATGATTATTTCAGCAATGCTCATCCTATTCTAAGTATTTCTCATGGCGGCACAGTTCTTCCCTTGAAAGAACCTAAATGAGCAACAACAAACTGAGACCGTTAGAGTCATACTGATTTGCATCTCAGCAGGCCATTGCATTTCCTTCTCTTTACCAGTTTTGCTTTACTGGTATCTAAGACTTTCTGGTCCTGCTGATGCTTTGTAAAGCCCACAGGTTAGCAGTTAGCCCACAGTAATTTTTCCAGGTGTTTGAACCATGAGAGTTCACAGGTGCCCTAACACATCCAAGCATTTGGAGAAAATAGCCAACCCTCCTGGGTTAATTTCATTCAGGCACATGGTAGGGATTTACCTCATTCCTATTTTCATCCTCTGCAGTTCCACTGCAAAGAGGAAACTAAACTGTGTAGGCTAGGACTATCTCTTCATTACATGAGTCTTTGTTTGTTTCACTGGGGTCCTATTTTTGATAGTGTTTTAAGCGCTAGAGCAGTGCAAAATAAATGCAATTTAATTTTTTGAACAAGTCTGTTAGACATTTATGTGAGTATTTCAAAGAATTAATGATTGAAGAGCAGATGCTTTGAAATGTGCAAATGTTGGAATTCCTTCACAAAATTTCAGTGAGTAAAAATATCAGCATTTATCAATCTGAGTGGCTGAAACGTTTCATAAAGTGAGAAACGTATCTGTCCCGGTACGTCACCCTTGTCCCCATCATGTCTAGCACCATACATGCATAAGGGCCATAAAGAGAGCTGAGGCTTTCTCCCCTTGCCCTCACAAAATCAGAAAGTTGTCATAGATCTTCTTGTGTTCCAACATCTTTAATACTATTGGAGAACTGGGCATCACGATTAGAAGGCTATCTGCACTTGTGTTGCCTTCCTGATACTTCTGGATGCACCTATGAATGTCAGGCTGTATGCATTTATCAGTCTCTTGGTGGCATTCTGCAGCTCTTTCAATCCTAGATAAGGCTACATTACCTCAAGTATCAACCACTGGCACCATCGAATGTTGGCTGCATTCAAGCTCCCTCTGGGAGCTTGTGATCAGTCAGCCTTCTTAAAAGCAGAATACAGATTAGTTTACTGGTAGGAACAAAACATTTGGGGTCAGAAGGAATTTAAAACAATTCCCACACATTTATCTTACCTAAAGCCCTACTGTCTTGTGATATAACTTAGGCAAGCCTTACTCTCCAGACAGCCTACAGCAAAGTCCTGCTTCAGCTTGCTTCCTCCAAGCAGTTACTACCTTCCCCACTGCCTTCTCTTTCTCTCCGTGCTCTTTAAACTTCTCTGTCATTCTTTAGTTCCTCTGTGTTTCTTTGCTATCTGGTCAAAATAAAGCCTGTAGGCTCAGGAGGAGTTGGAGCCAGACTCCTTGGATCCAGTGAGTTTGGCATTGTCACTTAACTTACTAGTGTGCTTGCTAAGGGATGTTGTCTAGAAACATTTTTCTCCTTCCTGCCTGTTTTTCTGGACGCGTTTTGGATCAGTTAACTGGATATATTCAGACAGTAAACATTCTAGTCATGAAACCAGCATTTCAGCATTCATAAGTTATTACGAAGTCTTTCCAAATCACGCCAGAGTGAAGAGAAGGGACTTCCCATTTAGTACTGAAGTCAGGATTGCCATCCTTCTTTGTGGAAGAAAGAACAGTATTTGTGGAAGAAGGTTCCAAAGCCAGGTATCAAGAAGGATATGACTCCAGCACCCATTTTAAATACCTCAAAATGAGCCTGTCCTTCAGTCACAGGTTCCTTGAGTCCAGCACTCTCCTTAGTTGCATCTTGGCAGCAGCTATGTTCTTCACTGAAGTTATTATGTTGGTATAATTGAGAGGAGCAATTATGCCTTTTTTTTTTCTTCCTCTGCAAACTGTAAGCCTGAGCATGAAGAGTTAACAAAATCTTACCAGATTGTGCCTTTATCAAGGCTCTGAACTGTGAGGTGCTGAGGACATCTTGAAAGGCACAGAGCACCCTTAAACCCATAGGAATTGAAGGCACTTGGCCGCTCTTGGAAGCACCTTTACTTAAAGCATAAAGAGCACAGGCTTTTTATGTCATTAGAGAAATGAAGCACTTATGTAATGATAAGTGGAATTTTCTATATGATTCACCTAGGTGTTGTAAACCTTGCCCCATCTCTTACCCTTCAGACAGCCTCTATTTATAGAATTAGAGTTCCTTTTTTGGAAATTGTGTCATTTCAAGAATGTATTTCATGTTTGGTGCCTTTGTGGAAAGGGATAAATACTCCAGTGTGCCACAGACCTCTCCCTTCATGTCCTCTCCCTAAATCTTGTGGACTTAGTGTATTTGTGTTTCTTCCCACGAGAACTGGGAAAGCTTGCCCAGCCATTGTGAATGTGGCTTGCAATCTGCAGAAAGCTTTTCAGTTTTTCTTTGGAGCAGTCAAACTTCATTACGTTTCCTCTGGGGATTTCTGCTCAATTGTAGTACTGGCAGCATGCACTGGGACCACCCTCTATAAAATTGTTTCCTAATTTCTTCCTTTTTAATGTTCTAAAAAAGTATGCCAATCCTTTTACTCAAGGATCATGTACAATAAAATATGAACAAATTCTATACGGTGGGTCCATCTACATGTGCAATTAACATGGAGCAATAAACTCTGGGACAGTTTGCATTGGAGTCAGCAGCTCCCAGGTGCAGCGGATACATGTATGCTTGGGACCGCAGAAGTGAAAACCGGGGCAGAGCATCCCTGGGCTGGCAGCAGGCTTGTGGGGGTGAGCTCTGGGCTCCAGGCCATGGTGTCAGGTGGTGGAGGGGCTGGCTAGGGCACACGGGTGCTATAGTGCAGAGCTAGGCAGCATGTAAGCCCTACACTGTAGCACCCTCAGTCACCATCTACACATGGGTTAAGGCAGCGTAAATTACTCCGCCATAGGATAGTACTTGTCCCAGGCAGTATTATCCTATGGCAGAGTTAATTAAGTTACTGCGCCCTAATCAGGGATGTGAGAGGGTAAATGATTAATTGTTTAACCAGTAAGTGTAGTGATGACCAGTTAGCTTACTAATCCTTTAGCGGGGGCTGGTGCAGTGTGGCAGGGGGGAGGGAAGGTACCCGGGAAGGCCCCGCAGGGATAC